TGTGTGTGTGTGTGTGTGTGTGTGTGTGTGTATACATATATCTACATACATGAATAGACATACATGCATACACACACATGGTGGTTTCCACCTCCACCTCCGCCCCTTTGTTAGGTGTTGCAGAGAAGATGCCCTCATTCAAAACTTTACGAATCAAGAAGAAGCTCACGAAGAAGAAGCAGAACAGGCCTATTCCCCATTGGACTCGCATGAGAATAGACAACACCGTCAGGTACAATGCCAAGCGCAGACACTAGCGCCTCACCAAGCTAAGATTTTGAGGATGCTCTTTTGTTGCCCCTAAGGTTGATGGGTTACTGCTTTCCCTTTGGTTTATTTTATGAGAAGCTTTTTTTTTTAATTCATTTTTTTTGTACCAACCCCTGATACATCAGAAAATTTTCTTAGGTTTAACTATATCGGCATTTTAATGAGCTGCACTATTATTTTGTAATTTTCTTATACTAATAAGTTCATAATTTTAGTTCGATCGTTGTCAATTTAAAATGTATACACACACATAGATGCACATATGTCTACATGCATATGTATACATATACTTGTACACACACACACACACACACACACACACACACACACACACATGTATTTACATTCATCTTCATCTATAGATACATGTATATATGTATGTACACACATGTATATACATACATCTATAGATACATGTATATATGTATGTACACACATATATCTACATACATGTATAGACACACATGTACACACACACACACACACATATACATGCACATATGTAGATACATGTATATACATACATATCTATACATTTATTTATTTTTTTTGACATAAAAGATATAACTTTCATTAATCATGCCCAAAAGAAAACAATGGGTCCAAAGTTACCATCTAACAAAAGGTAATCCGAGGGAATCCCTATTTAAAAGAACTTTTAAAAAAGGAGGAAGCATATCAAAAATCAAATGCCAATAGAGCCATTTTTTGCCAATTTGTCAGCAAATGTATTACCTTACCTATGCAGATTAGTCCAGAACACCATAACTTGGTGGAGGAGTTTGACAATTCTCTTCCTAATAATAGTGATAGACCAAGTAGCAGTTGAACCACCATTGAAAGAGAGTCCATTTTGAAGTTAATAAATTTCAACTGCATTTTAATTGCAATCATAAAAGAGAACAAAGTAGCTCATGCTTCAGCTTCCACACAATCAACGACCATACATGGAACTTGAAAAAATAGCCTAAGCTTTCTCTCATGTTCTAAAAAAATTCCCCACTCACCAGCCTTTTTTTTACTCCAATTATCATCTGTGTTAACTTTAATCCAAGGTTTGATTGGTTTTTTCCACAAGATTAGCTTCAACTTTCTACTCTTATAAGATAACATGCAAATTCATGTTGTGGAACATATATTTGAGGCCATAGAAAAAGATGAGCTTATTGCTTCCCATATAATATTATCTTAGACACAAAAGCAATAACATTATGTGAGGTAAACAAAAGATCCCTCACTATTTGTCTTGTTTAGCATCATTCCTTGCCATCCAAATAAACAATATCACAATGGAAGGTATAATTTTAAGCAGATGTATGTTGTTTGAATCATTATACACCTAATTGTGAATACAGTGCTCCAGATCCGAATAACCGCTATCAAGGCAACAAATATTAAATTACTTCCCCACCAACTTCCAACCTGTAAAGAGCGAATATAAGAAAAGAACAAAAGATTCAGTGTCTCTTCCTCAAATCTACATAAATAGTATCTTGAGGGAAACTTAAAGCCATTTAATTTCATAATTTCATCAATTGGCAATAGCTTGTACAATAATCTATAAGGGAAGAAAACCATATATGGGGAGAGACCACCCTTCCAAATGAGTTTACCCCAAACCACCTCAAGATGCACATGAAGTTTCTTAGAAAAATAAAAAATTTTAAGCAATGGAGCAGCATTGAGCACCCTTAATGATAAATTTATCCTTCATAGAATACAATATGAGAATATTAACAATGTAATCAGCCACATGACTAGGAACCAAATCATTCAATTTGTCTTTCATCCATACATCACCAACCAAAATGTCTTTAATTAGCAACTGTTGGTTACTAGGACAATCAGGAACAAAAAAAGCAAGAGAACCATCTAAACACCAATTATCTTGCCAAAAGCTAACAAGACTCTCACCCAAATTCCACACAATCATGTCTTCAGCATCACTTCTAGCTTTCAACATGCCCTTCCAAAAAGCTAAGTCACCACATTTAAAGGAAATTTGAGAAGGTTGTTTAGAAGCACAATACTTTTGTTTAATGAAAACTACCCAAAGAGGCTCTTGTGAGCCAAATTTAATCCAAAATTTCATATTATTAATATAAGAGAGGTTATTAAGGCCTTGATAACCAAGTCCTCAGCCTCCATAGCTTTACATAGCTTCTTTCAACTTGTCCAATGCACATTCTTGGACATACCATACCAAAGGAAACTGTTAAACAATTTCTCAACCCGAGCTTAATTTTTTTTCTTCTTCTTTATAACTTATAATGTATAAAGTGGTGTGAAGTTTAGAATGCTTTTGATTAAATTAACTTTTTTTTCCAAAGGATGGGAAATAATTGGTCCAATAGTTTATGTGCACTCTGATTTTATCCACAACCTCTTGGAAGTGATTATACTTTTTTGTGCCTTTCAACAATTTGATTTTTAGGTAATTTAATGGAAGTTTAGGATAATTGAAGCCAACGAAGTCAAAAATCTAGTTCCTTATTCTCAAAGAGATCTTCATACCGACATAGAAGCTGCATATTGATTTATTAAACTCCATACCATAATAATTTTCAAACTTCTGAAGTGTGTCCCAAATTTTCTTAATAGACTATTTACTAGCATTGGAAAATAGGATCATATCATCTACATAAGCAAGATGAAAGACAACTGATTGACTTTATGAGTGTATCAGGTATAAGCCAAAATTCACTGTAATCTATTGACAATTTTGGAACAATAATAAAAAACTAAGATAAAAATAGTTGGTGACAGTGGATACCTTCGATTAATACCCCTCTAAGTTTGAAAATAACCACAATAGCATCCATTGATCAATACAGTACAATAATTGCTACTAAGCCACATGCTAATAAGATTGCATAATTTTTTGTTGAAGCCTCTTGCCTGAAATAGAGCAAAAATAAAATTCCAATCAATGGTGTCAAAAGCCTTTTTTATGTCTAGCTTGATAATCATATTTCCTTCCCTAATTTTTTTATCTAGTTCACTGATCAATTCCCAACACAGTAAACTGTTTTCAATGATGTTCCTCCCTTTTTTGAATGCAAATTGATTAGAAGTAATTAGTTGAGGAAGACGGGGTTATAATTATTTAACAATAATTTTAATTATCACCTTAGATATAATAGAAGTCAGACTTATAAGTCAGAAGTGGTTCCAAATTTCTTTTTGTTGTGTCTTTAGGATAAGAGCAATTGTAGAAGTAAGAAAATATTTGTGTGGATTAGCCCCCAGGAAGAAGTCTTACACAGCGGAAACAATAGATCCTTTAACATATTGCCAACATTTTTGTAAGATTCAGAAGTATACTCATAATAAACCAACAACTTTATAACTATCAATGAACTTAATTGTTATCTAAGTTTAACCCAAATTTTCATATAATTAATATGAGAGAGGTTATTAAGGCCTTGAAAACCAAGTCCTCAACCTTCATAGCTTTACATAACTTCTTCCAACTTGCCCAATGCACATTCTTGGACATACCATACCAAAGGAAACTGTTAAACAATTTCTCAACCCGAGCTTAATTTTTTTTCTTCTTCTTTATAACTTATAATGTATAAAGTGGTGTGAAGTTTAGAATGCTTTTGATTAAATTAACTTTTTTTTCCAAAGGATGGGAAATAATTGGTCCAATAGTTTATGTGCACTCTGATTTTATCCACAACCTCTTGGAAGTGATTATACTTTTCTGTAACTAGATCACCTAATACCACCTTCTAACATAAATTGTTTAGTTTTTTGGTTTCCTTTGTTTTTTTTTTTCATCCTGGATTTTTGTACCAACCACTCCTTTTTTAAGTCCTACCAAACAACATTATTGACATTTACTTCAACTAATCCCATTGGTGTTATATCCCACATGCCATCTTCAATATGTCATCTCATCATTCTTATTAAATCACAATTTCTAAGGTAAGAATGAACATAACAAGTTCTAAGAAGTTCTCTATGCAAATCCTCAGTATCTACCACTTGTGGGTCTAAATTTTTTTCCTTATCTAAATTTAGATTCCCTTCCTCGGGTTGAGTTTGGTTCACTTCCAAATTAAAGGTCACGCCTTTAAACTGGTGACGAGTTTTCTATGCGTCCATTAACTAAATAACTTCTTCAGGGAATGTAGGATTAGAATTCTATTCCACCAATTGATCTTCCCGATTTCAACATCCTCTTTCCTATTATATGGAGTTTCCCTTATTAATTTAAGGTTAACTATATAAAAATTTTCAACTTGGTGGCCAAATATTCTACAATGACCACAGTAATAAGGATTTTGTTCCATAACAACTTGTTGCCAATACTCATTGTGAGTAGAGCCAATCCATATTTCCTCAGGAAAGGGTTGAGTGATGTATCTCTCAATTAGAATTCTAGTAACCTCGATCCAAGTAATTAGCTCGGGGACCTTTATAAGTTTTTGTCAAAAATCTTTTATGATTTCATGCATGTAGATTTTACTCGGCAGGAAAAAGTAAATATATCACAAAAGGATTTTTTGTGTTGTATTGTATGTATATAAGTATTTTGACAAAAAGAGGTAGTCCAAAACCTAATCATCCCAATTAGGCTCAGACTACCCGCAGCCTAAAAAAGCTAGGGGCAACTTTTACCAAAAGTTAGTGAGTAGTATCATCGATCTTATTCTCCCCTTATTGAGAATCCTCGAGGTAGGAGATACTATTCTAAATTCAACTTTGTATCGCATGCTTATCATACATATTGATGTTCTCATAACCCTCTCCACCTAGTCCTCTAACTTATACTAGTCTAATGATCCATATGTGACATAAACAAATATTCTCATTTGCTCACAAGGGTTTAAGTACCTTAAACAAGACTCAAATCCTTGAACATTGGGTTTAAATGTAGGATGAGTAGTATATGATATCTTATTGAAACTGTGAGTTAACGACTCCCGAATCATATCTTGGTGGAACCCTATGAAATTAGAGGAGGATTTTCTTCAAT